CCTAATGTGCCTAATGTGCCTAATGTGCCTAATGTGCCTAATGTGCCTAATGTGCCTAATGTGCCTAATGTGCCTAAGTGCCTGGCATAGGCACATGCAGAACCCTAATATAAATCTAAGCCAACGTCGGGCAGGCAAATTTGTTAGTTAAATATTATTTACGTCCTAACTTTCGCCCTTTCACAAAAATTAATTTCTATTTTCTCTAATTGAGCTTTTTCGGTTCAAGTTTTTTTGTTTTGAGTAGAATAAAATCCCTAAAAGAAGCCGAAACCAAAGCCTTCTGCCAAGGAACCAGGAGCGCAAAGTTTAGTTGAAATTGAAAAGATTGAAAAGTCTAAGTTAATTTCTGATTTATCATTTTTGGTCCATCGGGGTAAAACTTGTTTATTTTGAAGAACAGTTGAATTTCCCTTGGCTGATAGTGAAATAGTGTGTTCCTTGATGTTTGCCTTTAGTTTGGTTGCTATCAAAGGTTTTAAAACTGTACTACCAGTAGTACAAGGGCGCTCCTATCCATTAATAATTCTAACACATAAAATAGATCCAAATTTCACGATAATCCGTGACAGTTTTTATTGGTCATGCAAGATCTATGTATAGAAGATTCTCGAACCTCACTTAAATATATTTGAAGATATTGAATATACGGGAAAGATCTAGAAACAATAATCGGACCAAAAAATTTTTGATGGCGGCAACTAATTTTTGTTATTAAAACTCTCCCTGTTCCCTCCGAGATTTGAAAATTTCAAAAATGAGTAATTGGAAAAACCCAAATAACTGGTATTTTATATTTATTGAATTGGCCCTGTGATTAATATTACTTTTCTTACTTACCTAAAACTTTTTATCCTAGGCATTGGTGGGTGAAAAAAAAAAAAAAAATGCGGTTGAAACTAATATAATCTTATAATGGAACTTTTATCGATATCAAATTTGTAAATTAGGACCACTAAAAACTGTTTGAAATGGGCCAAAGGATATTTTAAAGAGCGATTAATCGGTCTTAGTGCTGAACATGAAGGCATTTCGGTGAAGATTTCGGAGATAACCCAATGCTCCGGAGACGCAGATTTGAATCAGAGAAAGGGAAAATTGATCCCATTCATTGATTTAGTAATAGAATTGGCTTGGTGTGGTGAGAAAACTGTTTGATTTGTAGTTTATTAGCTCAGGCATATATCGAAATTTTACGAAATTGAAAAATAGGTACTGCATCGGATGGCACCGAGGTTACAGGAAAAATTCGTATTCCTGAACTTCAAGGCACAGAAGGGGATTGTGAGGTAAGCAAATAATTAAAATTGTATAAAGTATATATCATGATTTAATAAATACATTTAATAGTTTCAAATTAGTGTTGACGATGAAACTAGTGATAAAGAACTCATTAAGGAAGTAATCCGTAATCATCTGACTCCTTTGATAAGCGAAAAGTTTAAGAATTTTGGCAAAGATATGCTAGAAAGTACGTGACAAAAAGTTATGATCTATCATATTTTAATAGTTTTAAATTTATATTTATGTCTCTCTTCAAACAGCTCATAGTAAAGACGTTTATATTGAACCTTCTCAACTTGGTGAGTCTACTCCACCACGATCTGCAACGCCAATTGAGCCTGCAGGAACTTCTCAATCGCCGGCTCCTATCTCCACTTCGATTGGATCCACATCTACAGCGAGCACTACCAAACCCAAATTCGTGAACACCACTACAATTAAAGAAACAGTCGAACTGCAAACTTCGGCAGACCAAGTCTATGAAACTTTACTCGATTCGGGTCGCGTTGCTGCCTGGACGAGATCAAGGCCTGATATCTTTCGACATACTGGAAGCACTTTTAGTTTATTTGAAGGAAACATTACTGGAACCATTCTAGAACTAGTGAGTTATAATACATGCGTTTGATCAATTTATAAAATGTAAGAAATTAGGCGCATTATATTTTATGAAATGTCGCTTTTTTTTTTTTTTTAAAGGATTCAAACAAAAAAATTGTACAAACTTGGAGGCTGAAAACCTGGCCAGAAGGTATTTAACAATTATTTAAGAAACGTTATACACTTGACGCCGTTAATATCAACCTAAACTATAAAATGAATTCTATATATATTAAAATTATCCTCATATATATCAACCTTAATATGATCCCTCATTAATATCGCTATCAATATGAATATAAAAGTGTGATCCAAATGGGTTGATATTAGCGAGGGTCGAGTTTAGTACATCTTTTATCTAAAGCTCTATGTTAACTTGTAATCGTTAAACCATTTTAAGGTCACTTTTCAACGGTCACTCTGGAATTTGAACAAACAAGCGATTATACCCTTGTCAATGTCACTCAAAAAGGCGTTCCCGTTGGTGAAGAAGAAATTGTCAAACAAAACTGGCAAAATTATTATTGGAATCCCATTAAAAGCGTTTTCGGGTACGGATCAATCTCTCAACCAATTAAAACACCTCGTAAAACTAAAAATAGTAACAAGCGTAGGAATATTAGTAACGAGGGTGGTGGTTCTAATTATATTATTGTGGTGGCTATTGTACTGACTGCTATTGTTTTGGGGTTTGCGTTTTCATCACGTTCGTAGATATGGTGCGCTCATATGATGCTGCAAGAAAGTTTGTATGCAAGAAGAACGTTCTTCCCGGTGGTAAATTTTTTATCGATCGTCTGCGTTTTTTTTCTAATTCAATCTCTAAATATTGTTTCTGCGTTTTCCTGGTGTTTACAAATTTTCATTTAGCCGTTTCTCCAACGAACAATGATTTGATCTCTTGTAACCTTACATTATTATATATATATAGAGAAAAAACTATGGGTTTTACTTTAGAATTATTTGACATTGCTTAGCATTTTTTATATAATTTAGATTATAATTTCCTCGTCTGAAGACAAATCTTTTGCGTGAAAACAATAAAATTTGTGTACTAATTTTTGTTCATTATTTATCATGGGGTTCATCCCATATATATATATATAACAGTTATAATAAAAAAAAAACAGCCATTGAATACATTAATTCGAAATAACATATTCCTACAAAAAAAAATAAAATAAAATAAAAAAAATTTATTAGTCTAAATTTAAAAAAATACCGCGTACAATTCAAAAAAATTGTGTACCCGAATAGCATCTTGAACCTTCCGTTTAAATTGCTGTACTTCTTCCCAGCAATCGAGAGTATGCGTGCTATTATTCCTAAAAATATTTGATGAAATTCCGTATTATTAAAAGTATTAAACTAAAAAGCTAAAGATCATTAGCAAAAAATTAATAATATTACTTGTAACAAGAGATAATTGCTCTTTGTTGTTCAATCAATTCTGTTGGAATTTTATTTTCATATTTTCTATTAAGATTAAAGTAAAATTAGTAGATTAGATCATATAATTCCAATTGATCTATCAATGAAAACAAACCTTTCGACCCGTAAAATCAATTCCTCTATATCTTGTTCAGTAACTATGGCATTAAGACCATGATCATCAATGAAGGCTCTACGTTTAACTAATTCGACTTCAATACGTCTCTGTATTTCTTCATCACGCTCCCTAATACGATTCAATTCTCTTTCAACGCGAGTTTGAACGATATCCTCTATATCTTCAGGTAATATAGGCTCAGTGGTTTTACCCACTGTTGGTTGTGATTTTCTCTGTATTTCATAAATTTTCCAATTTAATTTTTTTAAAAATTTCGATTAATCTTTTTAAAAATAATACTGACCGTTCGCTCTTTTTGCAGTTCTTGTTGTAGTTTATTAACCAAACCATGAGAAAACTATTTATAATAGATAAATGGTTTACTAATCTAATGTAATATTAATCACTTTTTTTATAAAACAGAGAAAAATTGGTTATGGACAAGATACTCACTCGAATTGGGGATTCATTATATATTACCATTTCTGCTGGCGTTGATTGTTTGCTACCCATAATTATAATTGTACAAGGAAAAGTATGTTCCCCTATACTGCATGATGAAACTAATGATTTAGGCTTTTTAATCCGACCAATCAAAATAACTGATATTAAGATATTAACTGTTAAAAAAAAATCTGATCAAATATTTTATCATATCCTCGAAATGTTTTATATAAAGTCTCTTCTTAAAGGAAATACATGTAATATACGAACAAAGTTTTTAAACGCTTCATTTTTGCGAGGTGTTTTTACTGGCTCTACTACAGGTTTTAGACTTCCTCTACCGCCAGAAGTTTCACAAATTGAAGATGCCATAGAAGTCTTTAAGCCTTCCGAACAACCTGCTTCACTCTCATACTTTACTGCGAAGCCTCACTACAACGATCTTCTTATACATCTTGACGAACTTTTTGAAAAATATCGAAATTCACCAAAATTAAAACGAGATAAAAATTCACCAACCCTATGGATGCTTAAGGATCATCTAGGTTCAGAACTAGGTTTAAAATTAAAGTCTAACCAATATCGTAACATAACGCGAAAATTAAATCGTTTAGATCTTGTTGTACCTGAAAGTGCACCCAAATTACATAGTTTTTTAGAATTATTTAAACGGATTGATTTGGAAAAAAAAAAGAAAGAGTTAGAAGCAAATAAAACACCTAATCGATATGGAGTTACATATGCTGTTGGCAGAAGAAAGGAGGCTGCCGCACAAGTATGGTTAGTCGAAGGCGATGGCAAAGTGTTTGTTAATAGTATTCCAGTAGCGGATTATTTCTCTTTACTAAAAGAGCGTGAAACAGTCTTATATCCATTGTATTTGACTGATTCGCTTAATAAATATAATGTATGGGTCAAAGTCAAAGGTGGTGGTACATCTGGTAATATTAATGTATACAACACATTATGCATAAATGCATATTTTTGATACTGTGATAAGCCAAATTGAAAGGATTATGTTTTAAATATTCTGAAGGTCAAGCCGGAGCTATTGCTCATGGGATTACCAAAAATTTGATAATACACGATCCATCCCTGAAGCCAGATTTACGAAAAGGTGCAATCAAAATATGGTGCTCTTTTCAATATGAATATTTTAATTTATATTTATTATATTTTATTAATTACTCAGCCAAACTTGTCACGCGAGATATTCGTAGGGTTGAACGTAAGAAACCCGGCCTTGCTAAGTCTAGAAAGAGATATACATGGTACATAAATCATATTTTCGTGAATTTTAACTTGCATCATATTGTTTTTCGCTAACTAAATCTTTTCAATGGTTTCAGGGTAAAACGTTAGAAAGATAATAGGTAATATTATCATAATTCTGATTTACAATACGTTTTTTTCGGTTAGAAAGATTTGTATTGACTTGACGGATTGACGAAAATGTGTTAGTAACTACTCACTGCATTTTTTTCAAAAGTGATATTAACGAATAAAATTTATCGTCAAATAAAAATTTATAAAAAATGACAAAGTTAAATAAGCAATTTCGTTATGGTGAATTCTATATGGGGTCTCGTATTAAAAGGGCCCATTTTGAAAAATTTTTTACTTGATTTTTGAATGGATATATTGTATATTCAATAAAAAGGTTGTTATAGATAACAGGAGCTAATTATATAATAAAAAGATTCACAAAATGAATTTAAAGTAAAAAAATGTTATACTGTATGTGCTTTTATAACGAAGATTTTTTCCCATCCCTATAAATAGTAGTCGGTACAATGCCCGTTTGAATAAACTATTTACATAGTTTATCTGTCTTAGTTACAATGACTTTTATCATTTCCCTTCCTATCTTATTACTTTCTTCAAATCTAGTAATGAGCATTATATAAATCAGTAAACTATCAAGTGCATAGACATAAGTAATAAATAGATAAATAATATACCTAGACTCAAAGAATTTTGCAGTACCCTCGAACCTTCTTTGATATGTCATCATATTGCCAATTTCAACACATTCTGCCCAGCCTTTGGTTGCGCTATAAAATTCCATGTCATCTGCTCGAATATCTTTACTATATAATGCTGAACGAATTGCCTCATCTAACATTTCAGAATTGCAGAATAAATATTCCGTAATTCCTCTAAAAAGGTTAATTTTAATTAATAATAAACATACAAAAGAGTAAATAAAATAAAATACACATACGTCCAAAGTCTAAAAAGTGGAGTTTGACACATCATATGTTCATACGGATTAATTTTAAGAGAGTACCAACAATCAACCTTTGAAATAAGAAATGTTAGAAATTATAATATCGATAATATCGATAATATCGATGGTAAAACGAAGGAAAGCGTGTCACACTAACCATCGCTAACAATGATAAGTGAGAATTTGGTTTTCTTTTATCTTTAGGTACACTTGATAAAGAGAATTGATCCAAGATAGAATCTGATAATAGTATTTGTTTACGAGAAGAATTTCTAGTTTTACCAAAGACAAACTCTCCTGCCTAATTTGTAAACCAATCGTTATAAAGCCGATATTACATGAATAAAAAGCAAGTAACATTTATAAATATATTTACAGTCTTCACGCGAGTAGTGAATTCCACTTCTTTTTCCTGAATCATCAACTTAAACAGATCAGCTACTGATTGTGAATATTGTTGAATTTGTATTTTTGCACTTGGATTCATAATAGCAATTCCTATTAGTCGTTTTAAAGAGGAACATTAATAATTAATAATAATTTACTATCATTATATTTTGAGATGTTTTACCAGCGTAGACGTGCCATTTGTTTGAATATATGCGTAAAGCCATATGAACTTTAACATTTTCTATTCCACCAACATATTGCGGAGTTGCCCACTATAATAATATAGGAAAATGTGATTATATTTTTATGAGAAAAGTTATATATATTTATTAGATCTTATATAACATCGTACCGGAAATTGTTTTTGAGTCATCCAGGCAGTTCCCATACTTAAAAGAAATTTAAAAATTAATAACACGTATACATTCGACGTAGGGATTTAATTCACTTACCTTAAAAAGGCAACGTGAGTCACAGCTTGAGTATCGGCCATAATACGATCATGTTCTTCATAAGATAATACAACAAATTGAGATTTTAAACATGATAATACACGAAGTACAAACTCGAATTTCTCTTTTGTGGCGCGATGTTGAATCATAACCTAAGATGTTTTAACATAAAGGATTTTAACTAGCATTCTTTCACGTGATTTGTCAGGCGACAATCGGAAATTACCAATGGCTGTCCTTCAGGATCTACAGAAGGACCATGAAGTGAATGGCACGAAACAATATGAACATCTTCAGGAAGATGTTTTTCAAAAGCGCGAATTTCGGGTTCTTTAACTGATGTCTGTTAAAATAAAGTCAGAAAAAAATAAAATAAAGCCACACAAATTTAATATCTTGGTTTTATAACATAAAATTTCTAAACAGACCAGGCCGGCTGGCTTTTTTTTAAAAATTTCATATATAAAATTTTATAAAATTTTTCAAAAAACCCACCCGGTTATTAAAATAAATAAAAATTATCAAAATTTGACCCGGTCGGGTTATAAAAACCAATTAATTAATTTTGCATGGCCTAATCATAAATGCAAGTAAATATGCCGTTTTTCACACCTGACCAGCTACTATAGAGCCAACTTTGGAAGCTAATTTATATTTGAAATAAAAATCAGTATGAAAACACTAAATATACATTATATATATATATATATATATATACAAATTCAACCTACAAGGACCATATTCAGCCACTACCCTGTCAATATTCTCGGCTTCAACAGAATAAATGATAAAATCACTCCTTCTTGATACAGCATGACCATCGCGAAGAACTTTCAAACCACTATCTACAATTTTTATCAAATGTTATTACCAATCAAATATCATCAATCATCAAGCATATAATTCATCAAAACTTATCATTATTAACCTTTTAATTTTTCTTTTAGTTCGTCATAGCGTGAGGGTAGGTCGCATACATTCACACTTCAAATGATAAAATTGATAAAATCGATAAAAAGGTATTAATGAAGTTCTTTCACAAAATAAACCTGTCAATACAGGCAGTAAAATACGTGTACCTTTTCCACCCGGCATTTGCAATTCTCTTAGCATACATTAAACCCATCTCTCCTAGCCCTATCAGGCCAATTTCCATTTCGTTTTTTTCGGACTCAAAAATAGTCATATTGTGAGATTGTAAAAAAATGCTCATAGCCTCCAAATTTTTTAAGAACGACTTTATACTTGTACATAGGTGTGGCTTTGAAACTTTAAAAATTTATTATTATTATA